AACTAAGTTGTTTAACAGAACTTGCACAAACCAACAATTACTAAAGCTTAAGCTTATCCTTTGGGCTTGAAGTAAGGATTAATGCACAGGCTCATCTTCCTTGAGTTGAAAATAAACTTTTATTAGAAGACTGGGTACTGCAAGGATTAAATTGCAGACCACTTAGTCATAGAAGCTTGGGAACCATGTAAGAACCAACAACGAAAAAGCTTAAGCCATTAGGTGAAGACACACTTGAATGGTTTTATATAAGATTTCTAACAAAACTATTTTCTAATCTTTCAAATCCTGAATAAAGCATCTCAACTCATTATAGCTAATTTGACACCAGCCACACCAAAATCTCCCCCCCCCCCCCCAAAAGGGCCCTGTACAAAAAAACTACAATTATCTAAATTGCATATATCAGGATTCTCCGGGCTTGAAGTTAATCAGCTACCATCCACCACCCTCAAAGGCATCCTTGTTCTATCAATAAATGGCAAAATACAAACTGTTTTTTGTTTGGTAATCCAGTTTAATTATCATCGCAGCTTTGTGAAATATTAGCACATGTATGATCTGGAAAACTGACCATGGTCAGGTTACAAAAGCAAGATACCTTTCAAATATGTTTGAAGCATCCACATCACAGTCATAGTTGACAAAAATGTCAATAATAATCTGAGGATCTTGAGATATTTTGTCCAATAAATTGAGGACGGTCATTTTCTGCAGAAAACTGGGCTGAAGAACATTCTCGAGAACTCGGAGGATAAGCATAGGAAAGAACATGCCAATTTCCTTTTTCAAGCCTGATCTGAATTTTGATAACAAGTTCATGAAGATGGAACACTGAAGTTGGAAAATGGCCATCGCTGAGAGAGCACTGTTCTTCAATAATGACAAGCAAAGATACTGCTTGATAGCATTGAGAAACCTGAATCACATAGAAAAATAGAGGCATTGTGATAAATTATTAACAATAACAGAGAAAAAGATAGATTTTGGGGAAAGAAGAAGAACCTCTATGTTTGTGTAGGTCAATGTCAATGTAGATTAAGAGATCAGTACATTCTATAATCTACTATTTACACTTCCCCCTCAAGCTGGAAAATATAAATCAAATGCACAGCTTTTACAAATGTAACAAACCCAAGGACCACCTCAAGAGACTTAACAAACTCATCTGTTAGAAATATAAAGCCACTGGCCATACAACTAGACAAAATCATCTCTAGAATGAAGTGGAAGTCCACATTTATGTGTTTTGTTCTTTCATGCAAAACTGTATTGGAGGCTATATAAAGGTTGTTAGACTGTCACCACATATTAATCGCATTGCATATATTTTATTTCTCTAAATCTCAGTTCTTGAAACAATCATTTCAAAAATATGAGTGCAAAGTTAACAAATGCCATGGGTAAAAATTATGCTTCTGAACTTAACCTGGAAAAATACCCTGCTTATCATAGTATTACATCTGGAATATTAAGGAAGGGGGCAGGCTAAATGAGTTTTATCCTATTGTTAGTGTAATGGATTAATGGTTGATACAACCACAAAACAAACTTGATCTTAATTGCTAGAACTATGTAATTATTGTATTACTGTAAATAGGGAAATTAGTATCTTTGTAATTACAGTAACTAATTTTGTATTAAGACACGCTGATTCATCCTATGTTTCTCTTCCTTCTCTCTCAACATTAACTACAATTGCCACTCTATAATCTGACAGGCTAGTCATAATGATTGGCTGCCACAATGATATGCATCAACATGATAGATAGATGATTATATCACACTATAAACAACTAAGCACCTATTGAGGAAAACAAGGTAGAATTGCACCTAGGATGATTTGGCCATGTGAGAAGAAGACCAATAAATGGCCTAATAAGAAGATTTCATCAGATGGAGGATAGCTAGTAGAGGAAGACCAAATAATAAAGAAAACCTGTACAGGCGAGCAGGTAAACTTCTGTGCATTATATGTTTAATTTACTTACAGCCTTATATTAAGAACATGCTGCATATTACTTGACTCCTAATAATGCAGAATTGTTTGTTTTTTTTTTTAAAGAAGGAATTTTATTTGAGAGAAAAGGAAAATAAAACTAGGGCAGGATAAGATGCCTGCTGAAAAGAAAATTCTAGATACAAGAAGGAACATGGAAGATTCAAAACCGTATCAAGGATGAGCAGTTTCTCTTTACATAAGAAATTGCAATTCCCTTGAAGCAGACATATGCACGTAATACAATAAACATAAGTCCATCTTCTAACAAGTTTATGGGCAGAGAGATTTACTGAGAGATGTGAGCATTCCACTCCAACCAAACACACCAAAGGACTACGTAAGTGGCATCCTCTACCAAATTTTATCGTTTTGTTTTTTTATTAAAATTTTCAAAATTTGCTCCAAAGCAAAGGACACACCAAGCAGTCTCCCAGAGTGGCTTCACAATATAGGGCTACAAAATTGCATAAATTATTTTCCTTAATCTTGTTAAGAAGAAGATGGAGGACGCATAAATGATCTTTTGACTTTCAAATGGGTTTAAGATGAAGGATATACTAAAAAAAATGCCAAAAGAATTCAAAGCACAAAGTCAACGAAAAACACAATAGTAATTCACTAGGTTTCTCTGTCATCAAATTCTACAAAACTGGAGGTGCCACTTTAAAAAGTGCCTGAATAGAATAAAAGTTCATATTGTCTGAATTATGCAAAGAATAGAGATGAAATAATTACATTAACAAATAGTGGTTGTAAGCGAATGGTAAGTATGCAGCACTTGCCTCTCATTCACGCGCCACAGTGAGCCACCATTATCCATGACTACCTTAAGTAGCTCCAAGGATAAAATTTTCCCTCTTAAGAGTATACGATCGTCTGGATGCTGTTGAGATGAGAATTTCATGGACAGTTTGCACAGATTTTTAAAAAGAAGAAAACCATCCTCCCTTATTTTACTTCCATCAGCTTCAGCTTCATTATCGAACTTGTCGGTACCTGGTTCATCCGCTGCTTTGGACAACGGTGGATCAACATTCTGCACTTCCAGAGGTGATACAGACGATGGCTTAAGAGGAACACCCTCAATGGCCTCCATTACCTCATTGATAAAATTTTGGCAAAAATGTACGGAATTGCCCTCGTTCAAATTCTTATCCGTGAATTCCAAGAGTTCACTGACAGAAACCCTTTTAACTAAGACATCCATGGAGTCTTCCTCGACCCTGGTGAAAACAATAGTCATGATTTGGGCAAGAACCGACTTAGCACAGATCTGATTAGTACCGTTAACCCCCCCAAGGTACACATTATAGCAAGTTCTCACAATTTGAATGAGACAATCTGCTCTGATCAAAATGCACGGGGATCTTACAGCCGAGAGCAAGACTTTGAGCACGCCCAGCTCAATTGCCTCCTCCCCAAGGCCACCCGACTTACAGATGGCATCAATCATGTTGAAGACAACACCCGACTGTGAAGTAGTCGAATTATTAGGGCGATCAATCTCCCCGCAGAGAAGGCCGAGAGAGAACAATTTAAAGGTGCATTCAAGAGCAGGCTCAACAACCTTAGGGTAGGCAGAGTCAAGAGCAAGAAAGAGAGGTTGAAGGACAAATTCGGCATCTGAGGAGGAGAGACCTGAAAGAGGAGAATGGGTATTGGCTGGAAACGTTTCTGACGCCGAGAGGGATTCGAGCTTGTCGAGGGCGGATTTGCAGGAGGAGACAAGGTGAGAGTGCTTACGCCAGGCGGCGTTCTTTATGATCTTGTCGAGTGACGGACCCAGGACTCGGCCGCAGCGGGAAGGACCTCCGAGGGATTGCGATGCGGACATTTTCTTTCAGTGATGAAAAAAGCGAGAGACGAGATTGGATCATAGAATTTGCTCAGTGATCTATGTGGGCCAGGAAAAGAACTGAAATCTGAATGTTTTCGTGTCCGCTGACAGATTCATTCTCCTCTTCGGCAAGAGATTTGAGAATTACCGTGCATGAAGCACCATCTGAGCATAACTCCGTCATTTGCTGGCAAAGAGCCCCGCCTCCTGAACCTACGTTTGCGTAATTACGATTTGTCAAGCAAAATAATATTTTAAATTTAATCAATTTTAGGAATTTAAAAATATTTTAAATTATTATTTAAAAGTGAAATTATAAAAAATATTTCAAATTGCATTCATCTAATTAAAATTTAGCCAGTATTTTTTTTAAAATTTAATATTAAATTTTTAAGTTATTTAACTTATTTTAACTAAATATATTAATAATTTTATTAAACAATTCTATTTTAATTATCTAATCGTAGGATATAAGCTTTGGTTATAAGTTATTCTCTCTCATTTTTATAAAATATTTAAAAATAATAATGATTTTTTTCAAAAATATTTTATAAAATTATATAATAAAATTTTCTATTTATCTTTTAATAAATAGATTTATCAAAATTAAATTATAAAAGCAAATCAATGATATTGCATTAAATTAAATTTATTATAATATATATATTTAAAAAAAATTACTTTAACTAGTTTTATTGGAACCAACAAAATATATTTGTTTAATCAAATTGACTTAAATCTATAAAATAAAATATAATGTTTGAATTTTAAAATTTGTACTTGAATTATATTTAAATTTTTTAATATAATTTAATCAATCTCAATTTAAGTTAAATTTGTAAAAATTATAAGAAAATATCATTTTATATTATTTTTATGAGTTTAAATTAAATTTAAGTTATTTTAATTCGATTTGACTAAATTTAATACTCGTCGTTAATACAAATGAGTTAGATAATTTATTTTATTAACTTTAATTTTATTAATTTATATAATTTAATTAATATTAAAAAATTTCATTTATTTAATAATTTATAATTTTAATTAATTTTATTAATAATTTTTTAAATTATATAACATTGCATATAAAAAAATATATCTTTAATTTTTTACGTAAAATTATAAATTTTAATACAATAATATTATTAAATATTATATATTATTAAATGTGTTTTTTTTAATGAACCGAAGTCAAGAAAAGCTCAATCTCCCCAGTGTTCTCAATCTGTCAAGGACCTCAAGCCCCCCAATCGTTCCCAATGGACCCCAATCCACTTGTCTGACTTTAATTTGTTCAAACCCTAAGTCGGTGACGAACTGTTTGTTGGCTCAAGCTCGCGATTTCTCAAGGTAAGCCCTTAACCTGAGTCGGTAACGAACCATTTGCAAAGTGGTTTGAAAGTTATACCATATATTTCTGGGTCGGTTAGAATGGTTGATGGGCCAATACCAATGTTTTGACTTGGGGGTGGTTTTGGTTTGGTTTCCTCAGCCAGAAATGACAATCGATTATGACTTTTCTTGGGATTGCATGTGTAAGGAAATGCACAACATTACAGACTGTAGATAGTGGATGCATTATTCTGTAGGTTGCATGGTACTCATCACATAGTTTGCATGCCATTTCATAAATAAAGGCATACAAATAGTAGGGATTCAGAATTTGCAGGATGTAGGCCCTCCACCCAACGAAAAGCTTAGTTTTAAAAACAGAATACTATTTTTAAAAGAGTAATCAAACATGCTCTAAATCATTTATAGGTTTCAAATTCTGTATCAGCCAGGCCATAGTTGCTCACTAACTGAAGAATCGAGTCATTTCTTCATATTGACCAAAGGGTTATATCTCAGAGGCAAACAGTGAGAGATAGAAAGAGTGGACATAGGGAGAACTAAGCCAAGCCAGACACAGGGAGGACAGGGATATATTTGCTTATTGCAGGACAACCACCCCCCGCGCCCCCACTATCATTTAATTCAACAAATGGTTGTTCTAACGTTTCTAATTGCTACCTCAGCTGATAGGTTTAAATTTATCATATATGGGTGCGATAACTCTGATTTCAGCAAAATTACTTATAACAACTCAAAACTCATGCTCCCCAAAACCATAGTTTATATATATATATATATATATATATATATATATATATATATATATATATATATATATATATATATCGATAATTACATAGTTTATATTATAGTTGCTACAATGTATTGGCTGTTCACATATAGGAGCAGAATCTCAGGAAATTATTTATTTTGTTGATTTTTAGTGTATTTGGGTATTTGTGTTCTTGGAATGGAGTTGTAAGTTGCATTTATATATGACATGTAGATTTTTTTTTATCATTTTTTTCTTAAAACATGAGGGCGGGTCTATATCAGTCTTATATTGTGTCTGGCTAATCACATTGCCTATGTGAGTTCTATGTAATTTGATAATGAGCTTTGCACTAATCTCATTATGAATATCCTGTTCTTTTTCATATGTCTATGATGTACTATGAGTAGACTTAGCAGGGTTAAATAGTTTTTTCCAATTCATTATGTATGTGTTTGAAATTCTGAATTGATTACCATTTCAGTATAGATTTATGGCTTTTGTTTAAAAAATTTAGGCAGTTTGATTCTGTAATCTGTCAAACATAATTTTTGGCAAGCATTCCTGATCACAATCCCCCTCCTTCCCCCTTGGATCTACAGCACACACATTTGATATGAGTAGCACTAGGCAGCGTACCCTTGGTGGCGTGGGTCATCATGTGTTGGACTATTTGAAGCGCACGCAGGCAGAGAATCCTGCTTTCTTTTATGCTGTCCAGGATGACAATGATCACTCACGTGGGAATATATTTTGGGCTAATGCAACATCCAAAATGAACTACTCTTATTTTGGGGATGCTGTTATATTGGACACAACCTATAAGGCTAACCGCTACAGGGTGCCATTTGCCTCTTTCACTGGGTTTAATCATCATGGGCAACCTGTGTTATTTGGTTGTGCATTGATTCTCAACGAATCTGAGTCCTCATTTATATGGCTATTCAGGACTTGGCTTCATACCATGTCTGGACACCACCCTGTCTCCATTACAACAGACTTGGACCCATTCATACAAGTTGCTGTTGCCCAAGTTCTCCCTTCAACTTGCCATCGATTTTGTAAATGGAGCATATTCAGAGAAACCCAAACCAAACTGGCTCATATATGTCAATCAAATCCTGCTTTTGAAACTGAATTTAAGAAATGTGTTCATGAGAGTGAGACAATTGATGAGTTTGAGTCTTATTGGCACTCGTTCGTGGGAAGATTCTATCTCATGGATAATGAATGGCTTCAGTCAATGTACCATGCACGACAACATTGGGTCCCTGTCTACTTGCGAGACACTTTCTTTGGGGAGATATCTTTAAATGAGGGAAATGAATGTTTAAACTTGTTCTTTGATGGATTTGTGAATGCATCCTCCACTCTTCAGGTATTGGTTAGACAATATGAGAAGGCTGTGTCAACTTGGCATGAAAGAGAACTAAAAGCAGATTATGACACTACTAATAGCAGTCCAGTTTTAAAAACACCATCCCCTATGGAAAAACAAGCTGCAAGTCTTTACACGAGAAAGATATTCATAAAATTCCAAGAGGAGTTAGTAGAAACTCTTGCGAATCCTGCCACGAAAATTGATGATTCAGGAACTATCACTACTTATCGAGTTGCCAAATTTGGAGAAAACCAAAAATCTCACATTGTCACTTTTAATTCTTTTGAGATGAAAGCTAGTTGCAGCTGTCAGATGTTTGAATATTCAGGAATTATTTGTAGGCATATATTGGCAGTCTTCAGAGCTAAGAATGTTCTCACTCTTCCATCTCAGTATGTGCTTAAACGCTGGACAAGGAATGCAAAAACTGGTACATTGTTAGATGAACATGCATCTGAATTGCCAAGTAGTTCTTGTGCATCTGTAACAGTTCGTTATAACAATTTGCGTCAAGAAGCAATCAAATATGTTGAAGAAGGTGCAAAATCAATCCAAATCTATCATGTTGCAATGAGAGCTTTGCAAGAAGCTGCTAAGAAAGTTTTTGCCATAAAAAATCAGAGTTCTGGAACAGCAGAGGGAGCTACACTAACCAATGGAGGCCGGGGTGAATTGCTTGCAGCAGATGATGTTCCAAGTTATCAATCTGTGGTTAGTTTCTTTGAACTTAAAAACTTTTCCTTAAAACATTAACCTAGCGTTAGGTTCTCACTATGACATTTATTTCGATAAAGTCTTTGCTTGATGAGTTCTACAATCCTGATGTATTCTACTGTGAGCTGCATCCAATGGACTATACTATTATTCTATATATCTATGAAACACTGTTATGCCATTTTTCATCTCATATTGATATTGAATACATGTTTAATACCAATACACTTTGATACTCTATCAATACGTATCCAAGCATCGAAACTGTTTTTAAAAAAGGAAATAAACCACAATACATCTTTGACACTCTTCATTACTTGACTGTTGAAGTTTTGATACGATTAAGTGATACAGAACCAAATGACTTTCATCTCTTTGTGAAACTCTATAACATATTAATTGTGTCAAATCAGTGGGAAAACCATAATTGTTGGGAGTTGGGACCTCTTGCTAGGACTCTTCAAAACTGAGGAGATTGCAACACTTTGGTAGCTCCCACGCAACGGCCAAGTAGTGACATTGTAGCTTGGAGTCCACTTCAACAAGATACTAATGTTTAAGAAAGAATTTCTTAGTTTGTCTTCTTTTAAATATGATAACTATTTATTGTGAAATATATATATATATAGAGGAAGGATTTACTTCTCACACTAGTGTAAGTCTAAAAATTCTTACATTCAATCTAAGCCTTTCATTTAACTTACATCATAACCCGATAGATGTAAATTAAATAAAAGGCTCAGATTGAGTGTAAGAATTTTTAGACTTATACAAATATGAGAAGATCTTATCTCATATATATATATGATAAGCCATATTGTATTTGTGTATCAAAGTTATATATTGTTTGTGTGAAAGCAAACAAAATTATAGGAAAGGAGGGGAAAAGGGGCAATTTTTCCCCCTTGTACAATTAACAAGTTGGCTCTAGAAGATATGTTTGTTATTTTCTAGGTAATCCTTTCCAATGTGGTAAGTTAATAACATTTAGTTTGATATTTTTTTAAGAGGTAACCCGTTATCAGCTACTTTAAACAGCGGACCTTTTGCAAAGTGCTACCACAAACTTTAAACTTGTCTCAATTAATCCTTAAACTTCACATAATGTACCAATAGATCCTTCCTTTCTGTATAGCATTATTCAACTCATTTGCAATAGTGTGCCTATCATGTGTCCGCTTGATGACATGTCAAAACACTATTCATCCATCTGATTGAATCTTCAGGTCCATTATTTTTTGCTCTGTTTATTTATTTAATAAATGATCATAAATCATAAAAGCACACAATTATCTTTGAAACAAAAGTCCAAGTAAATTACGAACCTTACAATCTAAAACAGTTGTTTGAAAATTGGGAAGGTTGAATGAAGAGGAGGCTAAAATGGGTGGACTTTGATGATCAAATCTTGAGAATAAGTGGGTTCACACATTTTGGGTTGGGAGCTCTGTTACAGCTTACTACCTTGGTTTGGAGTTATGTTCAGGGAGACCACAGTGAGTGGTGATGGTGAGTGCTGATTTGGGCTTATAGATCTCTCTCTCTCTTTCTGGTTTATTTTTATGAAAGATTGTTGTGGGCCTGTGATGCATGGTTGTTGTTTGGATGATGATGGAGTTCGATGTTTCTGATGTGGTGGTAGGACTTCATGCCAATTACTATTTGTTTTAGTTGTTTATGATTCAAAAACTTATTAATTATATTTTAACAATAAAGATATTAAATGATCAAAAGATTTTTCACATTTTAATTCATAGTTATGGCACATTTATTTCTAATTGAATTAAAGTGAGAAAAAAAAATTGCAAATCCAAACATTGAAAGCATGACTTCTAATTTAGCAAGTAGTTGTGTTGGTTAGTTAGTTAATTGGTCCCATTTTAATGATGAGATGGATTGAATTGATGCTAGTCTAGATACAGCAGAATAATTCAAGTAATATAATGTATCTTCCCGTATTGAGTTAAATGGTAACTAAACAAAAGGGTCTATTTGCATATTTGGTAAAATATGATTGAGATGAATTTAAAGTTGATGTCATGTTGCAAAAGGTCAAGTTTAGGGAGGCTGAACATACTTTTTTCTTAAAACTTGTCTCCTATTTATATGATTTGTATGTGAAGAATTCATATTGCATATGTTTTGGTTATAACATGTTTATTGGCTTGTGATTAACTTTTTCTTTTTTTCACTGTTTTTATTCTATGACTATGTTGATCTTCTTTTCCCGTCCCCTCATTATATTTTAGAAATTGAAATTGCTTTGCTAGTAAATTTAAATTGAACTTCTTAAAATTGGGCATGTTGTCTTGGACATGGGCCAAATAAGGGACACGGTGTTAATGTCCCCTTGTGTTTTGTGCTTATCTTGTTGAACATTTATTATTAGGCTATAAATATAAAGTTTCTTTTTTAACTATAATTTAGTAGAATTATGGCACAAAATTTTTATGTATTTGCATAAATGTGCACATATTATTGTTTAAGAACTAAGAATCTCTTTTTGTATGTGGCTTCTATGTTTGTTGATACACATGATATTACAAAAAATACCCTTTGGATTCTATGCAACAGGCAGAAAAGCAAAGGAAAATCCAAGAGCTGACTGCTGAGTTAGAGGTTACTAACCAACGATGTGACGTATATAGAGAAAACTTACTGGCTGTGCTAAGGGATATGGAAGAACAGAAGTTAAAGCTATCAGTGAAGGTCCAAAATGCAAGACTTAGTTTGAAAGAGTGAACGCATCAATTGCAAAGGGTTTAAGATGTGGCTATCCATTTTGATTCCTCTTAGGGTGTTGTGTTGATAAAAATTGAATTGAAACTGAACATATTTTTTTTTATTCATCTCTGAAAGGAAATTACAAGAGTTTATATAGAGGTAGTTTCTCACTATCTCTAACCAAATCCCTATGGCTTAACAACTAACCTAACAAAATAACAGCCTAGCTACAAGTTACATTCATAATCAACGATAGCCTTGGTTTGAGTTTAAATATATTGATTGTGCTTTTGTGTTATTGTGTGTTCATTACACGTGGCTCATTAGATGAATGGCATGGATTTATTTTTAGAAGTTTTATACATGGGGACTAAATATATGTTTTTATTTAAATGGTGTCATCTGTCATGTGATCTATTTATCGGGCAGAAACCCTTTCGTATTGTGATGTGATATGTCATGTGATCTCATTAACCCTATTTTTCTTCCCCATCATAATTGGCGTGACACTTCTTGCTATACAAGGTTCACTTTCCTTTTTCTCTTTACACGCCCTTAGTGTCGGTTTGGAATTTAATCAAAGGAGTTAGAAATTAAACTTGAGGGACCCATGGTAGAAGAGGGTGATTCTGCTCTGTAACAATGGAGTTAGAAATCAAAGGAGTCTGATTGAGGTATTTCCAATGGACCTGCAAAAAAGAAGTCTCCACCCGGAGGGGGAGGGGGATCAAATTCAAATTCTGGGAAAGGTATGTCCAGCGCCCCGAAGCATGCATCAGACCAAGGGGTAGAAGTTGAGGGGTGATGCTGGAAGTGACCAAACTAGGTTTGGAGAACTCATCAGGCCCGTTTATGAGGAAACATCCCTTTGAGAATGCTGAGGTCGCAAGAAGAAGCAGCTATTGGTGCACAAAATCAGAGAGGAATAAGCCTAAAAACTCAAAAGGAAAATAAGTTTTGGAAAAAAGAAGCCTCCAAGGAGAAAAAAAAAAAACTACTTAAATAAAAGCAAGGAACATTTAATGGAGCCAGTAAAGTGTGCTGCTCTGTACCTAACAAGAGTGCCGCCCAAGGGAAACCATGCACATAAAATAAAAAGAAATCAAATACCATTGTGTGAAATTTTGTCCCTTCACAGTTAAGATAACATGTCTAAATGTATTAATTCTGTTACAAACAATAAAGAAGAAAGTATTCAAAAAGGATATACATTTCATCTGTTAATTTTTTACAAATAAATTATAACAGCTAGTTAATCACAACTTTAACTAAAATAAGTATTAATTAAAATAAATTTAGGGGTTGAAAGTAAGTTGAAATTCAATTAAGAGTATTAAATGTGACTATTTAAATATTTTTTATATTGAAAATAATATCACAATTTTTTCATTAATTTATAATAATAATAATTTTTTATGAAAATATTAATCTTAATTTTATATTTTTAATAAATTAATGAGAAATATTGTCTTAAATTATATTACTTAATCAAGTTTTAGAAAAAAATTTAATAAATTTATTATTGCATTAATTTAATTTAATATATAATTTAAAAATTCACAATTAATTAGATAAATTTAAATATTTGATAAAATTTACTGTAATCAATGAATTAAATATTGTCTTTTTATTTCCTTTGCCTCTTTGAAAAAAATTGAATTACATCGATGTTTTAGGAGATTTATTTAATTATATTAATTTTTTATATAATTATTAAATTATATTGATTATTAATGTTTCATTATTGTTTGTTTTTGTTTGTTATTTCACACGGTAAAACTAGACTTCATTAAACACAAGATAAAAGATGTTTTGTCTCCCCTGACATCGATGGGCGGTTGATTATCTTTATGGCATTTTCAGTGCTAAAAAAATTGAAGAGACCATAACTGGTTAGCACTGCTCTCAGCGCATTCTCACCTTTGGTCTCGCACGAAGTTCTCTCTTGCTCCTTCTATTTTGGCTTGGGTTTCGGTTTCTCTCTCCCGTCGATCCCAAATCTACCAGAGTTAGTGCTTCTTTACCATGTTCTCGTCTTCAATTTCTGCCTGGCTTTTTAATTTGATCTATTATTAGATTATTTATATTTCATTTTGTTGTTGTTTTATTCAGTAATAGGATTCATTTACATAAATAAATTTTATTGTAAACCTAGATAAAAGTTGCTCATTATTTTACATTAGTAGTTGTGCAGTCTGTGAATATTATGACAATGTTGTACACCATTAAACTTCAAAGACATGTTGATTTCAAGACTTACATGTGTTGAGATGTTAGAAAATATTAAATGAGGCAATAAGATGATAGGGTTGTTAATGTTTTAAGAGATACATGTTTTGTTACACTAAAGAATGGAAGAATTATGTTAGAAAAATACAGTAGAGATGACTAATTTGATTTTAGTAGTTTCAGTTTCTCTTTTGTTTTAAAAGATATATTGTACATTATTTGTGGCAAGCCTGTCACTGAAGAAGATAAAGATAAACAATATAAACAATTATGAATTGAAGTTTTTGGAGAGAATATATCCATGGTACAAAAAGAGAAATGAGAGGGGTAACCAGACTGACAGTTTTGAAGGAAAAATATATAAATATTTCTTCTAATATTGAGAGTGAAGAATTAGATAAGTATGTTAGGACTTTTGTACTCTATATGATTGGTTAATCTATTTTTAGCAATTCTTCAAGAAAGGAGGTAACTACCATATATCTTCCCTTTCTGAGAAAAGTTGCTGAAATAAAGCATATAAGCAATATGCTTGGGGTGCTACTGCCATGACACACCTATATGATTCTCTCCAGAAAATTAAAGTTAATCATATTGTTTGTCTGGAAGGAACTTCGATCACTTTTGAGGTAAACACTTTTAAATTTTTTAGAAGTAAATGATTTCATTTTTTTTATTGAGCAATAATACTTGTTATTTGTTTTTAAAATTTTTATAATTTTTTTCCTGCTTGTCATTGCAAGTAAGATCTACAAGAATTTAGATCCAATATCTTGTGAAAGTCTCACATTTCTATTGATTATTTCTTGGATAAATTATTTAGAAAAACCTTCGAAGAACACAAGAAAAAAAAAATACTCAAATCTAGAGAATTTTATTAACAAACCCCAAACTCCAAAATATTTTATATTAAATAGTTAGCTTACCCATCAAAATATTTGATCATTTCCTATATTATTTAAAGAAAAAATTATAAATAATCAAAATATTTTATATTAAATATGAAACATAAACACCTATTTCACTGGCATCAGATTCTTCATGCTCACTATTAATAGGTGGCTATTTTCCAAGATTTCTATTCCAACATGCCCAACATTTTGTGTATATACTCCTCACAGAAATCTAATCTCTAACTATGAGACCATTCTTACCCCATATTTTTAGCTTAAATCTCAATGACCTTGATTTTTTGGCATTTGGATATTGTCTTAGACATATATAGGGCTTATGGAATGCTATTTTATTGAAGTTCATCAAAGGTGTGTGAACATCAACATATTTCTCTTGACCAGCCAAACCATGAGGTAGGATTAGATGCAAATATTTATATGGATTCCACTCAACCTATAAATGAAATAGAAAAATTTTAATTATCAACTTAGTTAAAACACAAGATTTTAAACTAAAAAAGAAACTTAATGTTATTAAATTACAAATTTTACCTCTTCAAGAGTTATTTCATTAATAAAATTCTCTAGATTTGGGTATTTTTTTTTTTTTGTGTTCTTGGAAGATTTTTCTAAATAATTTGTCCAAGGAACAATCGATAGAAATGTGAAACTTTCAGTAGGTATTGGATTCAGATTTTTATAGATCTTACTTACAATGACAGGTAGATGTAGCAAAAAAAAAAAAATCTATAAAAATTTTAAAAACAAAGAACAAGTATTATTGCTTAATAGAAAAAATGCAATCATTTACTTCTAAAAAATTTAAAAGTGTGAAGTTGTCTCTAGACAAATAACATGATTAGCTTTAATTTTCTGAAGAGAATCATACAGGTGTGCCAGGGCAACAATACTCCAAGCATATTGCTTTATTTCAGCAACGTTTTTGAGTAAGGGAAGATATATAGTAGCTACCTCATTTCTTGATGAATTGCTAAAAATAGATGAACCAATCATATGGAGTATAAAAGCCCTGACATACTTATCTAATTCTTCACGCTCAATATTATGAGGGACATTCATATATTTTTCCTTCAAAACTGCTAGCCTGATTCCCCTTTGGTTTATTCTCTCTGGTTTATTCATTTTCTCTTTTTGTACCGTGCATATATTCTCTCCAAAAGCTTCGATCGATAATTGTTTATATAATTTATCCTCTTCGGTGATAGGCTTGGCACAAATGGGTAATGTACAACATATCTTTTAAACAAAAAAAAAAGAGACTTAAACCATTAAAATCAAATTGACCCTCTCTACTATATTTTTTTAACATAATGGTAAACAATGAAATATTATGCTTACATGCTATAATGTTCTTTAGTGTAACAAAACCTGTATCTCTTAAAACATTAGCAACCCTATCATCTAAGTGACAGCCTTTAATATTTTCTAACATCTATTAGTCTGGTGATTTCTCACTTGACAATTGTTACTATCATGACTTATAATACTCACATTCAAAAGTTGCAGGTGACTTTATTAATTGCTCTTGTGCTCTTATGATAGATTTCATCTACTTAGCTAGAGCTTACACCTAGTCTGCTAACAAATTGCTACTTTTAATTTAATAGATCGAAGTAATATCATTATTTTTACCCTTATAGTAATCAATTGGCTACCACTAAAAATTGTTAGTTGTTATCTCATCTATTAGTGTAAAGGCCTTATCTAGCTCCTTCTTTATGATAGTTCCTTCACAAGTTGCATTAACTATAGACTTATTAGAGGATAGTCTATTGTAAAATAGTTGCAACTATCAATAAACAAGAAAACCATGGTGTGAGCACTTTCTTAAAAGTTCTCTAAACTACTCCCAAGTCTCATCTAGGAATTTAGACTACTTGTAACTTGATATTTTTACAATGAGCTTAGTAGAACAAGATGGGGGAAAGTATTTCGCCAAAAATTAGTGAGTCATGTAACGCCTCATATTTCCTTTCTCAATATATAATAATTTTTATAAAAATTTAAATGATAAAATAAATTTCTTTCATAAACT